GTACGTGTAATTCTGTTCGAATTAGGACAACGTGCAGAGCGATCACGGGAGGGCCAGCTCGTGGAGAACCCGTCAAGGATCAGATCAGGGAAGAGAGCGAGCGCCCAGTAAAAGAGAGAGAGAGAGAGAGAGAGAGAGAGAGAGAGAGGCTCAATGAGAGAGAGAGAAATAGGGGAAAGGGAAAGTTACTCCTAACAGTGGAAACCATCTCTCAGCGCCCAGGGACTCGCGCGCAGGGGTGAAAAGGGGGAAGAAAAGAGAGAAACAACAGCCGAGAGGAGAAAAGGACAGCAAGGGGGGAATACAGCCTTTCATAACTATGTTATGTGTTTGGTTCGTTTGAAATTGGTCCTGTTAATTGGTTCTCCTACAAATTGCGCGCGCGCGAGAGAGAGAGAGGCTCGATGAGAGAGAGAGAAATAAGGGAAAGGGAAAGTTACTCCTAACAGTGGAAACCATCTCTCAGCGCCCAGGAACTCGCGCACAGGGGTGAAAGAGGGGAAGAACAGAGAGAAACAACAGACGAGAGGAGAAAAGGACAGCAAGGGGGGAATACAGCCTTTCATAACTATGTTACATGTTTGGTTCGTTTGAAATTGGTCCTGTTAATTGGTTCTCCTACAACTTGCGAGCTCTCTGGAAACTGAGCCTGTGGATTGACTCGCTGGTTCATTTGAAATCGATCCTGTTAATTGGATCTCTTACTGCTCACGTGCTCCCTTGAGACCGATCCTGTGGAGTGACTCGCTGACTTACTCGGTGTACCACTGGTTTAAGGTTTGATTTAGGCACGCGATAGGCCCTCAGGTACACTCTAAGTCGAACTCGTTGATCGATTTGTCATAATTTTATTTTAATTAATATTCTTTATTTATTTTTATTCATTTCGTTCTATTTTTCCTGATAAGATACCCTTTCGGGGCCAGGACAGCCAATAAAATGCTGGACATGTGGCTCAGCCGCTGTGCTGCGTTCTTCTGGCGCAAACATTCGTTTCTCAGCCGCTCCCTGTTCATATAGTTGGTCGAATGACGACAGCTCAACTGCATCAGATTCAAAAGAGATGTACAGCTGTCAAGAAAACCATTCACAGTTCTGTAGTATGGAGGGAAGGTAGTGAGGAGGGAAAATTACCTTGGTCCTGGTAAATGAGGAAGACCAGCATCGTAATGGATGCAATCACAAAGTAATTAATTAAATCCCATGTGTAAGCAGCACACCAGTACTCGTACACATTAACACCACTGACAAGCTGGAGATAAATGGGAACAATGTTCAAGAAACACAGTGGAACAGAGCAAAGCACACAATCATGTCAGCATCGACTCAGCAACAGTACCCGAGAGCGTCCAGCTACAAGACCACAACAAGTCTATAACTCCATAAAACAACAGTGCAATGAACCCAGACAGATGACTCAGCGCAGAAATGATGTCTCCAAAAACCGTTTATGAAACCATGCCCGAACTCAGAGAAGAGAGTGAGGACAGGGAGAGAAGAGAGAGAGAGGAGGAGGAGGAGAGCTTTCTCAAGAGTCAACGAAGTAGTCCCTCCTCAAGCCCACTTCCTCCTCGGGCATCTCCCTCTCTCCCCACCTCAGCAATGCAGTTCTCCTCTGACGATCTCGTACATACAGAATGAGCAGGTCACAGCTGGGCGCCCATCCTCCATCCACGTCAGCAGCAAAAAGGGAGGATGGCCCAGGTCTTCATCACTTACTTGGGGACAAGCAGCATATCCCTCACAACTACACGGTAAGTCCAGGTAAGCTTCCCCTCCTCACACACCAAATCTCACAGTCCAGATCCTCCTCCTCCTCACCCACACTCCTATCAATGTCGAAATCAATGTGGCTATAGCCATGACAGCATATTCTCCCTCAAGGCTGGCGCCCACACTCAGAATCTGGCGCCAGCGTGAAGCTCCAGCAGCCTTGCATCGTCACACCAGCAATAAGCCATCACAAGGCAGAATGATCTCCAAGCAGGGGCTGGGTCAACTTATAGATGTTGACTCACGTTGACCAACCTCGGGTCTCCTGGGGTCGACGGCCCAGATCAATCGGAAGCCAATGGCCTGGATGCTGCACAGTTGCAGATTTCCCACGTGTCCCACTTGGACCGAATTCATCTGGATACCTGCAGACAACCAATGATGTGCATCTGATCTACGGCCGTGGCTGACCAGCGGGTTGGCTTTGACCTCTGGGCCTGGATTCCCGTGCTGTGGCTGACTGTTGACTTTTCAAAGTCAACTGTTCCTCGTGCGGCCTTTGAACGCTGATTTTGGCCCTTTTTTGAGTACCCCTTGGCCTTGACCTCTGTTTCGGGCCTTCAACCAAAAGTGACGAGCTAGAGCCCACAGCTCATGCAGATTTGAGCCGAGTTATTGCAAACAGGACCTCGTAGAGGCCCTGAGGGATCAATGAGTGTGATTGAATTGTTTTACTGGCTGCTGACGACCATGATGGAGAACACCGCTTCACGAAAAAAAGAGGCCATTTCATCTGGCTGATGACACAATGATGGGTAAGCTCATTTCTGAGAAAGAGTGGAATATCCCCCCGAGTCAAGGCCTCTCTCTCTCCAGAAAACCCCTCTTTCTGGAGACACTCCACCAATTCCATACTGGCTAACATCACAAGTCATAGTGCATAGCAAGTCTGGATCAGAAATCTTTCGGAATGGATACTTAATAAGAGCTGTCTTTGACCCTAAACCCTGTAGTTGGCCTTCAAAACAAGGATCTGGGTTCCTTGCTGGTTGGGTTGCCGTGCCCCTTGCAGGTCCGGAAGGTGGGTAGACCAGTTTGAGAACTTAGTACACAGCCCGAGGTAGGTAGTGTGAGATGGGTAACTCTCGAGAGCAGAAAATACCATAGTAAATGCAGCTGTCCACCATCATTTGAGGTGAAGGCAGCAGGCATATGTTTTCAACAAAAAAAAAGAGTTGTCTGTGTGTGTGCGTGTGTGTGTGTGTGTGTGTGTGTGTGTGTGTGTGTTATAAAACATCACCACAACTTCCCATATTCCACCCAGATGAGTAGATCCAAAGTCATAGCAACTTTTCCTGTATTGCAGACAATGAAGCATTCTCAAGATGAGCCAATCCACCAATGAAACAGTTTGCTTGTGATGTCAATATCTATTCAGAACCTTACCTTTAAACAAGCAAGGAATCTCACCTTTACACAAGCAATGCAACACACTTGAGATGGGCCAAACCCAGCAGTGAAAACAATACGAGACAATAAATTCGTTACATCGTGTTCTTGATCATATTTTCATCAGCTAGCGTTGGGAGGCATCCCATTTTCTTTGTTTTTGTAGTTATCTTCTTACTGTGCCTATCACGTACAAGGCTGGCCACGTTGATGATGGTTGAGCGCCAGCTGCCCACATCCCCGTGTGCCTTTACGGCCCACTTGCACGTTATAAAAAGACGCAGAGTAAAACGGTAATTATATTTTGTCTCTTCTCTCAATGACGCTCATTCATATGCGTTTACTAGTAGTACACAAGGAGAGGGAGTTGACAACAGGGAGGAGGACAAAATAAATAATATATATAGAGAGAGAGAGAGGGAGAGTGAAAACGTGTGTTCAATAGATTCTTTATACAGACCATTGGAGCAGACGACTGTAGAATGACACGAGACGTCAATCAGTGTTCAGGTTGCAGGATAAGGAGTGGTTGTTGCTTATGGTAGCTGTTGCCTACGGTAGGTGACCACTCCTGCAGACCGGAGAGCACCGATTCGGGTGCGGACTGTGGAAGCATCGCATCCAATTTTCGCAGTTGCAGTTGCCGCACCAATGGCACAACATAGACAGATATCGCAGGCAACATGGGTCCCACAGGCAAGGAACACAGAGGCACGTCGGCCGCAATTGTAGAGGAATTGCCATTCAAGCCCCTGTCTACAAATTGGGCATGACATGTCAGGGTGCCGGACGTGAGTGCAATATTGACGCACATGCTAGCCGAATCTCAGGTGGATCATCACAGAACGGCATTGAGCAAGTGTTTTGGGTTTCCTGTGTGTGTGTGTGTGTGTGTGTGCGTGTGTGTGTGCGTGTGTGTGTGCGTGTGTGTGTGTGCGTGTGTGTGCGCGCGCGCGTGTGGGCACAACACACACACACACAAAGAAAAAGAAAAAAAAGCACACACGGGATGTGACGGGCGGAGGTAGAGCAGCGAGGTCAGGGAAGAGAGAGGGAGGGAGTGAGAGCACACACACACACTCACTCAACTCGACACGGACTCAACACGACTCGACGGACGCAGACACAAAGTGGCAAAGTCGCAAAGTCGCAATCTTGGTTCCATACACAATGTCGCAGCAAGTCACACTGAAGCACAAGCACTGAGGCCGAAAACTGAGTCCCCGAACTCAGCTCGAGTCCGGTCTTAAGTACCGGACTCGAGTCGAGTCCGAGGGCAAAATTGCAATTTGCCCCAGGGCTGAATTGAAAATCGAAGGTCTGAGCCTGGGCGCCAGAATGCCGGATGGCGCCAAGTACGAAATCCGAAACTGGCAGAGGCGGGATTTGAGAACGGGCGCCAACTGCAGAGGGCGCCAACAGTCGGGAACTGGAGATCAGAAACTCCAAAAAAAATAGAATAGCAGCCTGGCAGGTGGTACCCCGCGGACCAGGGATCGAGCCCTGGCTGAGTCGGTAACACTATCCCCTCCCTCTGGAATGCAACATCCCGGCCGCCAAAGACCCAATGAAACTGTGAAGGACAGGACGGGGCCGATCACTGGTCAGAAAAGGAAAGGGAAGTAATGCAAGTAGCAGGGTAATCCTATTGAGGTTCTACAGGGATGAGGGAAATCAATGTTAGAGTAACAGGGGAGTACTAGTGAGGTTCTACAGGGATGAGGGAATCAATGCTCAAGTAACAGGGTAATCCTATTGAGGTTCTACAAGGGTGAGAGTAGCAATGTTCAGGTAACATGGTAATCCTATTGAGGTTCTACAAGTACCAGGGTAGTCCTATTGGTGTTCTACAAGGGTATAGGTTGTCACATTTGAGAGAGAGAACAAAAAAATAAATAAATAAAATTGCTTGTTCAATCATTTTCAATGCTCAAGTGCTGGGGTGTCTGAGGGGTCTGGAAAAACAACGTCTCAGGTTTCTAACGAAGTGTCAAAAGCGAAAACATGTCTTGAGAAGACGCCGTATCATGTGGTATTTTTCCACTATTTTACGTCACTCTCTGGCCAAAAGTCTTGGAGTGTATCGCAGGAGTGGTGGTGAGGAAGCAGTCTTCAGCAGTTCTGTGATGTAGACGGCGAGGGCTTCAGCTTGATTGTCCCAGTAGCAGGTTGCATTCGGTACACGGTCTGATGATGAGGTCTGATCCGGATAGCAGTCGCAGACTGATCTTGATGTCCATGTCAGAGGTGTGCTCCGGAAGTCTGCGAGTCCAAGGTGCCGGCCAAAGGGAACAGCATGGTGGCCAACCAGCTGTCTCATCTCCTCGTACTGAGCTGCAGCATGCCATTGTCCTCGTGCGCTTGCCATTAGATCCATTATCGCCGGTGACGCATAGGGGCCACAAAGAAGATTTGGACAAGAGAGACAAGGATGTGGCGGAGGACACATGGGAGAACAGAGCGAAACGGAGGCAAGAGCGGATCAGACAGAGAGAGATAAAGGGGCAAGGGGTTTGCTGGGTGCAGGGGTGTGTGTAGAGCAGGAATGCGGGGTTTTGGCGTGGTCAAGGCGGGGTTTATGCAAGGGTTTAGGGTTTGAGTTATATTATGTATCTAGGATAAAGGGTGAGCACGATCATAGACGCGAACAAGTTTCATAGCATTCTTAAGGTTAGCAAGAGGTTCCCATGTGGATTCTTCGTCAGGGTGTCCTGTCCATTTAACTTTGTATTCTGTGATTGGTTCCGGGTGGTCAGATACCTGAGTAGTTCTTTTTCCGATGATGTCTTCGACCACGAATTCAGGGCCTGTGGGTAACATGATTGGTGGGGGTTAGGATATGGGCGGTCAGCGAATTGGGGTGGGGATTCATGGTATTCTTTTAGGTATTCTACGTGGAAGACAGGGTGGACACGACTCATGTCAGGGGGTAGTTGGAGCTTGTAATTGACGGGGGAGGTTGTTCAATGATGGGGAAGGGACCGAGCCACTTGTTCGAGAGTTTTTTGGACAAGCCGTGTTCGGGTTCAAAGCGTTTGGCTGAGAGCCAGACTTTGTCCCCTACTTTGAATGTTACGTCTCGTATGTGTT